CTCTGTTCTACAATAAAAGAAGGGAATCACAAGGGTTATTTATAGGTGGCATGAGTTGCTGAAAGATGTGATTAGTTTATATTCTTGTCAATAAAAAACGGACGAACGCTGTATTAAATGTTGAATTATCTAATACATATGTAAGTATTAATTTTGATCCCCAAATACTTTAATTCATACAATAAAATTCCTTCACGGCCCGAGAGCCACCCAAGTCTTACTTTTAAATCTGTTATGATGAATGTGTGTTACATCAATGTATAGAGGGACTGGAAGTAAAGATTATGGTGGTTTTCTAAGGCCGAAAGTGTGTGGCACCAAGTGAGGATCGTACTCAATATTCAGTCGCAAGAAGCGGTAAGAAGATTATGAGGATAAGGAGGATAGATAAATATTGACCCCTGACCTGAAGATGTTCAGATTCTATTGTTCAGGGAAGCGTCCAGTCGGCAGTCTATTCCGCAATGTCGTACTTCTCCGGGCAAAGTTTTCTTGGCTGTTACATGCTTTTTACTTATAAATACGGGGTAAATGAGGGTGATTTAACTCAGTGGAAGTAGCATGGCATATTCTGGGTGTAAAGGCCTGAAGAAGGGGGCTCATTCGAACATTTGCAAGGGAAAACTGTGAACATGTGCCATAGAAATATGGATAAACTAGCGCTCGGTAGGCGATAATTCGTTTGTGGAAAAGAAGTTGCTGAGTCGGAAACACGTCTTCCTCTACAAGACTGTGTAAACAGGTGCTACTCAACATGTGCTACGCGAACCAGTGCCGGTAGGCTAGCCATCGAGTGCCGGTACATGGAGCGTTTCCAGAAAATAAAGAAACAGTAGTCTCATTCCACGCCACGCAAGACAAGCTCGGATTTTTTTTTAAGATTTTCACTTTGCTTTATATTTATTATGATTACATTAATCATGTTAAAAGCAATTGCTATAAACTAACGAATGCGATATAAGGAACAGCAAAACAGTGAACTAAAATACGTATGACAACGCCATCATGAAGACGAGTAACTGTGTGGGAATCACAACTAGGAATACTAAAAGTCTTGTTTCATGGATATATATATATATATATATATATATATATATATGTATTTAATTATTTAAAAATATGATTACAATGCTACATAAGAGTTCTTATGAGAACTCTTATGTAGCGTGTTGGAATCATATTTTAAATAAATAATTATATTTATGCTCTACTTTTTTAAATAATAACAAAAATACGAAAGAACTAAAAGATTATCTACCTAACGAGTTCTTTCTTATTTTCTATGTATTTTTACACACACACACACACACACACACACACACACACATATATATATATATATATATATATATATATATATATATATATATATATATATATATATATATAATTTGAACTTTAGAAAATTCACCTGGCTGTAACAAAAAGAGTGTCCTCATGGATTTAAACCAAAATTATTATATTGCCAAATTTGCTTTGCTGTGGCAAAAAACGAATGGCCTCGCGGATTTAAACCAAAAATATTATATTGCTAATTTATAAAAAAAAAATAGCATTTAATTCCTTCGATTCATAATCTGTTAGTCTAGCAGATTTTAAAATGTCACTGTAAATCTGTAACAACACAGCTGCGTGCGTGGCTGGTGTGTAGGGTCATAAGTACCACAAATATGGTACCACTCCCCTGCATACTGGGGAGACTTGTTACATCCATGATGACTGGCATTATAATGAGTAAAACATCATATCTTCATGTCTAGTACAGATAGTCTTAAAATTATCTCGAAATAGAACATATCTAAAAAAAAAAATGGATAGGACCCCCTCCGATACTTCGCGCATTAGAAAAAAAAATTGCATGTAGACGATGTTGAATTCTAGCGAGATTTTGAGCTTGTCCGAGATTTTAGCGAGATTTTGAGCTTGTCCGAGATTTTAGCGAGATTTTGAGATTGTCCGAGATTTTAGCGAGATTTTGAGATTGTCCGAGATTTTAGCAAGATTTTGAGATTGTCCGAGATTTTAGCGAGATTTTGAGCTTGTCCAAGATATTAGCGAGATTTTGAACTTGTCCGAGATTTTACCGAGATTTTGAGATTGTTCGAGATTTTAGCGAGATTTTGAACTTGTCCGAGATTTTAGCGAGATTGTGAGCTTGTCCGAGATTTTAGCGAAATTTTAAGCTTGTCCGAGATTTTAGCGAGATTTTGAGATTGGTCGAGTCTTTAGCGAGATTTTGAGCTTGTCCGCAACAGATACTGAATCTTTGGAAGAGGGGCAAGTGATTGAGAAACGTGTCTGCACGAATCAAATTGAAAATAATATCTTACGTGAACGCGACAAGGGATAACGTCATTATATTGCAAGATTATCTTTGTAAAATAAATAACACGAGGCTTAATTATCCATACGTAATACTACATTTTTTTTTATATCATTTCTGAAATTCGTCATTTTCCTTCAGCCACTTTATTTGTCGGTGGCGAGGCCAACACCCGATCGTTGAAGCTTGTTATGAACGGATTTGATTGCCAATTTGAACGTGAAATCAACTGATCCAGACCTGCCGTTCGCTTCTGATGCTGCATCTGGAGATGGATGAAGTAAATTATTGCTTATTTATATGCCTATTTTGTAAACTAAATACACCAATTTTAATACTATTACTAGGAAGTAAAAACAAAAGATATTTAAGATACGGAAGTGACAATGTGACTTTTGTATGCAATCCCTCGCGGTTTAAAGGATTGTTCTTAAGAGACAAGCTCTTGAGATATGGAATAATACTTTGTTTGATCAGGGGATACTTCTTTATTTCGTGTTAATTTAAAGGTCAGAGAATGAAAAAATATCATTAAAAATATAAGTGGTGAGAAATAATACTGCTTCATTTTATCATCCCAATGGATTAATAATAGTAACTTAAATAGTTATAAAGAATTCTTATATATATATATATATATATATATATATATATATATATATATATATATATATATATATATATATATATATATACTTCAATTAAAGGTGCAAATATAATTTATAAATTCATGAATCATTCATACAAAAAAACAAATATAGTGGTTAATGATTTAAAAGGCGAGAATACTTCGTCGCAAACAATATAAATAAGATACATCAACCCCGAACCTGTATATGAATGATATGATCCCCATTTATAAATTCCAGTTGCATAAAGTCGTTTTAATTTTTTACAAGCTTTCGTCTGTTCCTACAGACATCATCAGGTATGGAAATAGATTTTGTTCTTGTTTGTACTTCTCAGTAATAAGAGGACAACGAAAATAGAGATCTAATCCGAAAAAAATGCTATGAGAAATGTGTTATTGTTTTGGAGTTTGAATTTACATTTTAAGGTTCCTAGTTTTTGTACAAATATAGCAATAAGAGAATTCTTTTTTACTGGTATATTTTCCGTGAATATGGCATGAACTATATTATTCAATAATTACAGTAATAACCGTAGACTTCAAGAATGGTCAGGTTTGTATCAATATATTAACTATGTATTAACCTGTATTAATTCCACACACACACACACACACACACACACACATATATATATATATATATATGTATATAAATAAAAAGAAAGAACAGTAAGATATAAAATCCGGTGTTCTTATAGATATTTTATTTTTACAAAATAGTGCTCAATGTAAATTTACAGAGCATTACCAAAATGTAGCTAATAACTGATACAATGATACTGTCATAAGGAAAATCTATACACCCCGTGTTCAATTTGAGTAGAATATTCTGTAACCATGGAAACGTGATTTTAGCTGTGTATTTAAAACCCGGTAAATTTTAAAAGTTACTCCAAAATTCGCTTGAAGATGAAATGGAACTAATGCTTTTAATTTATTTGCAAAAAATAAAATTAGGGTTTTTAGCTTCTATTTTTTGAAACATAGTTGGAACTGTGTAGCGAAAATAACCATATTTTAAATTTTAATATATATATATATATATATATATATATATATATATATATATATATATATATGTCATCTGATCATGTGTCCTGTAGTCTATAAATATCATAGTGGCATAGCGTGTGTTGAGGGCAAGGTGACATGATAGAATCCATCGCTCATCAGGCTTGGTTTGAATTAAGAGATTTACTACTAAGCAAGCTGTAATCTAAGGGTTAGGAGCACTTCTGTTTTTTTCTGTGTAAACTACTATGCAAACTACTGCTTAGTTGAATTGGTTACCTGTAATTATTAGCCTTGAATGCCAAACCCCTTGAAGATACACGTAGAAGTAAATAAATCATTACGCCATACGGACGCCAATAAGCAATTTAGAATTTGGCTTTTAATTTTTAACGGCTCAACTGTTGACCATGTTTACCGTAGTCTCTGAATATGGAATCCTGTGAAGTCCATAATTTGTTCAATATCAGAGGTTGGCAGTGAAGATTCAGAGAAAGTAGCGGCTGTTAAGTAATTCTTTAAGTCTTCGATATCAGGTTGGCAGTGCAGGCAATTTGGGAGAAAAAAAATGTCTGCCTTTATACACGTCGCATTGAATATTTTGAGCTTTCTGATTGGTTAACCCTTCTATTGGTGAACTATAAAACGAGTCAGCTCATTTAGGCTAGCTCACTAGTACACACATACCCAAAAAACTGCAACATCAATATGACATGTGATAACATTCGGTTGCAAAAATAAAATTATTCGCGTTATTAAGAAAAAAAGTTGACTTATAAATGGAAGCGATATTTTGGTCAACCCTATACGTATAAAATCGAAAGTAAGAGAAAACTTACACATTTGGGAGTAGAAATCAGGTCTGGGAATGTGTTCGGCTATCACGGGAACTTTCTATCGGAGAGAAAAAAAAATAAAGGACAATAAATTCTGAAAGGGGGAAAAAAAAGCAATGAAAAAAAAATTGGCGAATGACAATTCCAGTATTGATAAATCTCTTCAACAAGGAGAATGCAAAAAGAGGGGATGAAATTGCTAAGAGCTGCCAAAAATGATGCCCGTCCGGCCATTTGTATTTGCTCCTTTCGTCACGTCGATAACTCTTCTAACTGGAAGCGAAACTAAAGTCAGAGGCAGCGAGAGACAGAAAGGGGGTGGGGGAGAGATTTGGGAATGCTGGGAGAAAAAGGAGCATTTGTCATCGACTACGCTGCCACTCTATTACGACCAATCCTGAAAGTTCTCTGTCTCAAATCGATGATCGATTTCCTACAAGGAGATCATTAAATGCTGCATTCGACGCACAAGCAACGCTAGACGCAAATTCGTGCACCTGCGAAAAAAAAAAATGATTGGTCACTCAATGTAGCCACTCGTAAAGAGGCCTCTTGAGGTTAGCTAGCGGCTCTGAAATGATAAGTGGACAGTCGCCATTTTTTGAAGAGGAGAGGGAGAAACTTACATCAGGTTGCAAAGGGGATTATTATTGAAACAGTGTAGTTGATCGAACGATTATTCTAAACTTGAAAAAATGATTATTCACTATGTACATATGTCAACTTGACTAGATAGATAGATAGATAGATAGATAATGGACAAGCATAGATATTGGACAGGCTTAGATATATATATATATATATATATATAGAGAGAGAGAGAGGAAGAGAGAGAGAGAGAGAGAGCGATAATGCACAAACATAGTGAACAAGCAGAGATAGATAGATAGATACATACATACATACATACATACATACATAATTAATGCACAAGCATAGATATTGGGCAGGCATAGATAGATAGATAGATAGATAGATAGATAGATAGATAGATAGATAGATAGATAGATGCACAAACACAGTGAACAGAGATAGATAGATAGATAGATAGATAGATAGATAGATAGATAGATAGTGCACAAACACAGTGAACAGAGATAGATAGATAGATAGATAGATAGATAGATAGATAGATAGATAGATAATGCACAAGCATAGATATTGGCAGGCATAGATAGATAGATAGATAGATAGATAGATAGATAGATAGATAGATAGATAGATAGATAGATAGATAATCCACAAACACAGTGAACAGAGATAGATAGATAGATAGATAGATAGATAGATAGATAGATAGATAGATACAGAGACCTGGTGATAGATAGATAGATAGATAGATAGATAGATAGATAGATAGATAGATAGATAGATAGATAGATACCATTGATACAGAGACCTGGTGATAGATAGATAGATATGATGATAGATAGATAGATAGATAGATAGATAGATAGATAGATAATCCACAAACACAGTGAACATAGATAGATAGATAGATAGATAGAGATAGATAGATAGATAGATAGATAGATAGATAGATAGATAGATAGTGGACAAGCAGAGATAGATAGATAGATAATGCACAAACATAGTGAACAAGCAGAGATAGCTAGATAGATAGATAGATAGATAGATAGATAGATAGATAGATAGATAGATACATACATACATACATACATACATAGATAAATAATGCACAAGCATAGATATTGGGCAGCCATAGATAGATAGATAGATAGATAGATAGATAGATAGATAGATGCGGATAGTACAACGTGTACTCAGCTAGCAGAGTCCAAATTCAGCTCGACTGTGTTTCTCTCAGTTCGTGCAACTGCTTTCGGAAAAGGCGTGCACATTCATTCCAGCACCCAGGGTCTAAATCGCTTTAGCAGACTTGACACCATTTGCTTTTAATCGGAGCCAATATTGGATCAGGCAAACATCTGACTTGTAGAGAGCTATTTCGAGACTGTGTACCTTTTCTCTGTTGATATTTCTTGTAAAATGTGCGCCCGGATCGATTCAAAATTTCAACTACAGATCATCTGTGTGGACAGCCGAGCGATTCAGTTCTAAACTGAACTGTTAGACCCTCATACTTAAATTCGACGAGAGATACCAGCACGTATATATATATATATATATATATATATATATATATATATATATATATATATATATATATATATATATATAAAGAAAGAACAGGAAGATATATAATCCGGTGTAGATATTTTTATTTTTACAAAATAGTGCTCAATGTAAATTTACAGAGCATTAATATTATAAATTAATTGATTTAAAATATGGTTTTTTCCGCTACACAGTTCTAACCATGTATCAAAAATGGAAGCTAAAAGCCACGAATTTAATTTTGTGATTAAATTAAAGACATTAGTTAAAATTTCATCCTCAAGCGAATTTTGGAGTCACTTTTTAAAATTACTGGGTTTTAAAGACACAGCTAAAACAAAATTCATGTTCCCAGGGTTACAGATAAATCTATTTTTCTAGACAGGGGTGGCTGGGTTTTCAATATGTCTATAATTTAATGTATCAGTTATTGCTACTTTTGTGTCGTGGGAAGGGATGCATTTTTCAATGAAATCTAACTTCCGTTAAAGCCTGTCGTCTAGATTTTTTAAATTTATATTGTTAACGGCTAAAATTCTTACGGCATTTTTTTTTTGTGTCCGTATCTTTAAAGTATATTATGATTTTTTTAAATTTTATATTTAAATATTTCTAAAGTAAAATTTTTCATTACTCCGATTTAGTAGACTTGTGGAATAATGTATTATTCCATCTACGACATTTTACGCGCGCCCGAGTTTCCTCCCTTTCTTCCTCACTCGTGTGTGCGCGCGCGCGTTTGACACCCCCTTTCTCCCTCGTTCGGTCTAATACAGTAGTAACTGTTTTGGTCGATAGTCAAACGACCTGCTACTCCTGTTTATGCAAATTAGATTTTTGAAATCTTGCCGCGAAAAATTTGTGACGTCAACGACAAACTGTTGTTTCAGAAAAGTCAGTTCTGATCCAGACTCGGACCTAAGCAGACTCATTTTTAGCCATGTCAATATGCAAGGTTGACTGACGAAGGATATCTTACGATGCCAACACCAAATATTAATTCTGCGTCCCTTTTGGATCGTCATTCAAAACCCTTTTATAAGACGATGCATATACCAAATGATTAATCCTTCGTCCCTTTTGGCTCGTCATTCAAAGTCCTCCTCCGAGATGATGCAAAACAACCAAAATAACAATCCGTCGTCCACTTTGGGTCTCGTCAGAAATCTGTTTTGAACCAGTACAAAAAAAGGAAGAAAAAAAATATGTACATAACAATAACATTCACTCACATTACCTAAAAACTCGCAGTGAGTATTTTTCCTTGTATGAATATTATCTTGTACATTGACTTATCTGGTATCTCCTTCTTCTTCAAGAACCTTCCCGCCTTTAGCCATCTTGCTTCTACTTTTGGCGCGGAACTTTTTCATTGATCCCTACTACGGGACAATTTACTTGTTTTCCTGCATTTAATAAAAATTACTCTTGTTGGAATCCAGTCTTGTTCTGTCATTCTGTGTCGGCTATCTTAATATATTTTATTTTATGCGCGTGTGGATTAACCACATTTCTTCGTTGTTCATTCACGCACATTTTTATCTTTTTACTTTGCTTGTAGACTCGGTAGTTTAGTGTGGTGTCTGGCACAAGGCCACTCAGTAATAAACCAGCACTGCACCCTACCGGGCCTGCAACAGACTTTATTTATTTATTTAATTACAAATTAAAAGAAGTTTAGGTTAGAATTCATTTTAATTAACTACAGTTAGCTGTGTATTTAAAACCCAGTAATTTTAAAAAGTTACTCCAAAATTCGCTTGAGGATGAAATGGAACTAATGTCTTTAATTTAATCACAAAATTAAATTCGTGGCTTTTAGCTTCCATTTTTGAAACATGGTTAGAACTGTGTAACGAAAAAAAAACATATTTTAAATCAATTAATTTATAATATATATATATATATATATATATATATATATATATATATGATGGACTCTCCCGTCGAGTTCGATATATGATGTTCCGACGACCACGAACTAATTATCTGCAAACCTATGACTGGAACACTGTTAGCTGTCTTGTTTTGCTTTCATATTTCACGTACTCAGCTGATGCTTACTTCTTGATGGTGCCTTATTCCTTAATGGAAGCTAGAACGATACCCTGATCTCTTCATAGCTACCTTTTCAAAGTTCTTAAATGGAATGTTGACGCAAGAAAGGTTGCTTTTCAGTTTATCTTTATACCTGAGCCAAGGTCTACCAACATTTCTATGACCACTATGGAGTTCACTGTAAAATGAACTTTTAGTATACGATCATCACCCATCCTTGCCACATGGCCAGCCTAACCTATTTGTGATTGCATTATAAACAGAGCATTTACTAAAATATTTTTATCTATAAAAATAACGTATAAACTGTGTGTGTATGTATATATGATGGATTCTCCCATCGAGTTCGACGTATAAGGTTCCGACAACCACGAACTAATTATCCGCATGCCTATGACATGCATGACTTTTGAGACCGGCTCGAGAATTGCACAAAAGACCACGAGAATGTATTGTATCCAAGTGCAGCAGGAACACTGTTAGATGTCTTATTTTGCTTTCTCATTTCACATAGTCGACTGATGGTTACTTCTCAGTGCAGCTATATCAATGTACTTCTTTAGCTCCAATGCAACCAGAGCTGTTTTTTTTTCTGTAGCTGAGATGTTGCCTTGGAGAGTTCGTACATTCTAAGAGCCAAGATGAAGTTTATGTTGTCTTGTAGAGTTTTTCCCAGTGTGAAACTAATTAGATGTACTTGTCAGAAAACCAACACAATGATTTGTTTCAAGTGGCGAAGGCTTGTGTCGGGCCTTCCACATTTTTTGGACCAGACAGATAGACAAAGATAGGTATTCATAAATATACATTCTTTTCCTCACCGGTAGCAAAACTCAGATTTTAATGCACAACGTATCCTTATATTACATCAAGCACTATTTTCTTAACATAAAAACAAAATGTGCGATATATATATATATATATATATATATATATATATATATATATCGTCTTTTTATTTCTTTTTAAATTTTTCTCGTATTCTTATAACTTTCTGCTTTTCTCTACATAAATTTTGTAGAAATTGTATTGCCTATACTTTTAGGTATAATCAAAGACGATTTTATTTTTACTTTTAACTGAATGTATGGATTGTTTTATGTAGTTATCTAGAGTTTTATGACTGTTTTATTTCTCAAACGCACACACACACATATTCTGATGTTGGTCGGCTTCACTTTTCACTTTTGCTATGTCAAGCGAAATCCCGTTATCACTTCCGAAAATGATCGTTATATTCGAGATTTCGTAGACGCCGGTACTAGTAGTAGTAATGTCTTCCAATAGTATCCGCTCTAGTAATACTTGTTCAAGTAGTAATTGCCAAATAGTACAATAATCAGAAGAGAATCATAATCCGTACACTAGTACAGTAGTAGAGTAGAGAGAGACTGAACGTATATCAATAGTGGATAAACAGGATGAGTGAACACAAACACTGACCCAAACATACAAACAATATTCCTTTCACCAAAACAATATATTCTTACTTGCCATCCTTACGTCATACACCATAATACCTCAGAAACTCTATGAAGTCCTACCTAGTCGCCATATATACAAGTCATTGTGTGTGGGGAGGAGGGGAATAAAATAACAATTAAAAATCTAAATAAAAACCCAATGAATATTTACAAATGTGTACAAAACTATATACAAGAAACCAAACAAAAATTTTGTTAGTAATAAAAAAAATCCACAAAGCCTAAACTGTGGCAGTAACATCAGTTCACTGGACAAAATCAATGCGGGGCTTTAAAAGATATAAAACAACCATGCATCCCAAACACTCATTCAAATACACACACACATTGAAACAGAAAAACCGTTACGAATATCACAATCGAAACGAAAGACGCCCCGCACCCACCAGAGAACTGACATCACTATCCACCTAAAGATGGAAGGGATGGGGAATTAAACCAAAAGAAAAAAAAGAGCCAATGAGCATACACATCCTAGCTAAGTTTACAAAAGAGAAAAAAAAGCCAAACCAAAAAACAACCTTCACTAAACTATTAAAGGGAGGGTTGCCAATGTTCAACCCAGCAAACGCAATATCCTCTTAACCGGCATCAAAATGTCATTCTAAGTCAGCACCTTTCACTCGGCAGAGACGCGCAAGACTCACCCACCTTTAGCCAAATTCAAATGGATGAAGTCGTTGCCGTTCCGTCCTACCTTGACTTTAAGCTGATGCTTAAAGTACAGGATCAGTTGGGAAGAGGTAAACTTATCGGCCCCATGGAATTCCTTCTGTCGCGTCGTCCATATCACGACTCGCATAACCCTCAGTAAGCAAAGGAACACATAGTGCTCAGCCTTAGTCAACGGCGGTACTATATTGCTACAGACGGAACTGGCCTCGAGGACAAAAAACTTTCCGCGCAGCATGTGAACCATGATGTCTTCAACAAACTTGCACAACGGAGCCACGACACTAGAATGAAAGAAGGCGTGACCTAGGGTCTCTATCTCCCCACTGCAGCGAACGAAGTTTGGCGACTTTGCCAAACCCGCTGAACGAAGTCTTTTGGCAACCAAGAGGGCCCCTCGAATCGTCACCTAGGTGAGTGATGCCTCAGTGTTAG